ACTACTGGAAGTTTTCAAGGGAGAGATCGACAACAATACACTCATAGTAGGGGACTTTAATACCTCACTGACATCCCTGGATAAATCCTCTAGGAAAAAAAATCAACAAAGAAACAGCAATTCTAAATGACTCACTAGATCAGATGAATTTAATTGACATCTCAGAACATTTCACTCCAAAGCCATGGAATATATGTTCTTCTAAAGTGCACATGGGGCATTTTCAAAAATAGACCACAAATTGGTTCACAGGCAAAGTCTCTCCAAATTCAAGAAGATTGAAAGCATATCAAGCATCTTATCAGATCACAATGGCATAATATTAGAAGTAAACTATAATAAAAACAAAAAAAATTTAAATACTTGGAAGCTTAATAGCATGCTATTAAAAAATCATTGGGCTACCAAAGAGATCCAAGAAGAAATTAAAAGCATCCTGGAAACAAATGACAATGAAAACACAACAATTCAAAACCTATGGGACACAGTGAAAGCAATTCTGAGAGGGAAGCTTATAGCTCTACAGGCTTACCTAAAAACAAAAACAAGAAAGAATGATAATAAATCATCTAACTCGACAACTTAAAGAATTAGAAAAAGAGTAACAAGAAAAGCCCACAGTGAGCAGAAGGAAGGAGATAATAAAGATCAGATCAGAGCAGAAACAAATGACACAGAAATCAAAAAAACAACACAAAAGATCAATGAAACCAAGAACTGGTTCTTTGAAGGTATAAACAAGATTGATGAACCTCTAGCCAGGCTCACCAAGAAGCAAAGAGAGAGGATCCAAATAAACAAAATCAGAAATGAGAGAGGTGAAGTAACAACAGACCCCATAGAAATACAAAGGATTGTTAAAAAAAAAATACTACGGACAACTCTATTCCAACAAACTAGACAACCTAGAGGAAATGGACATATTCCTAGAAAAATACAACCTTCCAAAACTCAATCAGGAAGATTCTAACAATCTCAATAGGCTGATAACTATGGAGGAAATTGAAGCAGTCATCAAAAGCTTCCAGCAAACAAAAGCCCGGGGCCGGAAGGCTTTACAGGGGAGTTTTACCAAACATTAAAGGAAGAACTAAAACCTATCCTCCTCAGACTATTGCAACAAATTCAAGAGGAAGGAACACTTCTAAGCTTATTCTATGAAGCCAGCATCACCCTAATACCAAAACCAGATAAAGACAACTCAATGAAAGAGAATTACAGGCAAATATCCCTCATAAACATAGACACTAAAATCCTCAACAAAATTCTAGCAAGTCGGGTCCAGCATTACATCAGAAAGATCATACACCATGACCAAGTAAGATTTATCCTGGGGATGCAAGGATGGTACAATATTTGCAAGTCAATAAATGTGTACATCACATAAATAAGTTGAGAGAAAAATCACATAGTCATATCAATCGATGCAGAAAAAACATTTGACAAAATTCAACACCCTTTTTTTGATAAAAACCCTCAGCAAAGGGAAAAGAGAGATCATACCTTAACATGATAAAAGCCCTATATGACGAACCTATGGCCAAGATAATACTCAGTGGGCAAAAACTAAAACCATTTCACCTAAGAACATGAACAAGACAAGGATGCCCACTTTCACACTCCTATTTGACATAGTACTGGAAGTGCTAGCCATAGCAATTAGACAAGAAGAAGAAATAACGCATCCAAATTGGAAAAGAAGAAGTAAAACTGTCATTATTCACAGATGACATGATACTTTACATGGAAAACCCTAAAGACTCCTTCAAAAATTATTAGACTTAATAAATGAATTCGGCAATGTAGCAGGATACAAAATTTAATGCTAAGAAATATATGGCATTTCTATACACCAATAGTGAACTTACAGGAAGAGAGATTAAAAAAGCATTCCTATTTACCATTGCATTAAAAAAAATTAAGATACCTAGGAATAAACTTAACTAAAGAGGTAAAAGACCTATACTCAGAAAACTACAGAACACTGAAAAAGAGATAGGTGAAGACATGGACAGATAGAAGAACATAATGTGTTCATGGATTGGTAGAATCAAAATCATTAAAATGTCCATACTGTGCAAAGCAATCTATAGATTCAATGCACTCAGCACTAAAATACCAATGGCATATTTAACAGACCTAGAATGAATTCTCAAAAAATTCATCTGGAATAAAAAAAGACCTTGAATAGCTACAGCAATCCTAAGAAAGAATAATAAAGTAGGAGGGATCTCAATACCAGATTTCAAGCTGTATTACAAAGCTACTGTTTTCAAAACTGCCTGGTACTGGCACAAGAACACACATACGTAGACCAATGGAATAGAATAGAGAACCCAGAAGTTTACCCAAACCACTATGCTTAATTAATATTTGACAAAGGAGGTAAGAACATACAATGGAGTCAACACAGTCTCTTCAAAATGTTGGGAAAATTTTGGACAGGTACATGCAAAAAAAAAAAAAAAAAAAATGAAACTAGACCACCAACTTACACCATACACAAGAGTAAACTCAAAATGGATAAAGGACTTAAACATAAGATGGGAAACCATAAAAATACTAGAGGAATCCTTAGACAGCAAAATCTTAGACATATCTTCACTGATACACCTCCCAGTGCAATGGAAACTAAGGAGAAAATAAACAAATGGGACTACATCAAAATAAAAAACCTTTGCACAGAAAATGAACCATCAAGAAAACAACGAGCCGGGACCGGTTTGGCTCAGTGGATAGAGTGTCGGCCTGCGGACTGAAAGGTCCCGGGTTTGATTCCGGTCAAGGGCATGTACCTTGGTTGCGGGTACATCCCCAGTGGGGGGTGTGCAAGAGGCAGCTGGTCAATGTTTCTCTCTCATCGACGTTTCTAACTCTCTGTCTCTATCACTTCCTCTCTGTGTAAAATCAATAAAATATATTAAAAAAAAAAAAAAAAGGAAAACAACGAGAAAGCCCACTGCATGGGAGAGCATATTTGCCAATGTTATCTCAATTAAGGGTTTAATTTCCAACATTTACAGGGAACTCATACAACTTAACAAAAGGGAGATATACAACCCCTCTACTACTCCCCACCCCCCCCCCCCAAAAAAGGGCAATGTACCCAAATAGCACTTTTTGAAAGAGGACATAAGGAAGGCCAAGAGACATGTGAAAACAAGCTCAAAGTCACTAATCATCTGAGAAATGCAAATAAAAACGACAACGAGGTACCATCTCACACATGTCAGAATGGCTATCATCAACAAATCAACAAACGACAAGTGCTGGAGAGGATTCGGAGAAAAAGGAACCCTCATGCACTGCTGGTGGGAATGCAGATTGATGCAGCCACAGTGGATTACAGTATGGAGTTTTCTGAAAAAAATAAAAATGGAACTCCCATTTGGCCCAGTGATCCCACTTCTAGGATCACTATATCCCAAGAAACTAGAAACACTGATCAGAAAGAATATATGCACCCCTATATTCATAGCAGCACAATTCACCATAGCTAAGATTTGAAAACAGCCCAAATGCCCATCAGCAGATGAGTGGATTAGAAAACGGTGGTTCATCTCAATGGAATACTACGCTGTGGTAAAAAAAAGAAGGAATTCTTACCATTTGCAATAGCATGGATGGAACTGGAGAGCATTATGCTAAGCAAAATAAGCCAGCCAGAGAAAGATAAATATCACATGATCTCACGAATATAATGAACAACATAAACTGATGAACAAAAACAGATCTAGGGACAGAGAAGCATTGATCAGACCACCAAACCTCCGAGGGGAGGCAGGGGAGGGTGGGGGTTTGGGGGAGATACCAACCAAAGGACTTGTATGCATGCATATAAGCCTAAGCAGTGGACACAGACAGCAGGGGAGTGAGGGCATGAGTGGGGAAGGGCAACGGGGGGTGGGGGTGGGGGATAAGGACACATATGTAATACCTTAATCGATAAAAAAAAAGAAAGAAATAAATTTAAAAAATATAGTTCATTGTTTGTAGAGTGAACTGGAAATTTACAAAGAATAAAAAAAAATTGAGGCCAGTAATTCAATCCAAAAGAGTGGTTCCACCTTAGAAGTGACATAATGCCTTAATCAATAAAAAACAAAAAACACACAAACATACAACAACCTCCCCCCCCACACACACACACCACACGTGGGTGTGGGAGCAGTCCATTTCATGCCTCTGCCCCTTCTACCAGTCTAAACGTGCTTTCTTCTCAAACTCTCTAGTTGTAGACGTCCATTCAGCCAGATTGCAGGCGGTTGTGAATGATGGCTATCTGTATTTTAGTTGCAATATCGATGTGCTTGCAGGAGGAGGTGGGTGCCATTGTTTCCCTCTGCCACCATCTTGTTTCCTCTGTCACGATATGTCTCTTGACAATCAGAAAATAGTTCAGGAGCTCAGGGCTCAGTAAACCTCATTCAGGTACAGAGCGTGTTGTTTGATTTAGGTAGATAGTTATTTTAATCTTTTAAAACAAAGTAACTTTAAAGTAATATGGCTGAGATACACATTTTTTGAAGGGCTCACCAATCTTGTGACATCCCAGTGAGAGATATAAACCAATTTTGCCTTTGTCCCGAAGAGTGAATGTAAGCACAAATAACAGAAGTTTCCACACCTTTTCACAGTCTTTTGATCTTTCTGCATAAGCTGTAAACACCCATCCTTAATCACCAACCAGGGGTCTCTACTCCACAGAATTCTTTGTCCAGAGCCTTCCTTTAGAATCATAGTCTATTAATATGGACAAGGTCAAAATTTCTGTTTCGATCCAACTCCCCCGTGATTATGGGTACCAAGGTCCACCTAACCATTTTGATCCCATGGAGAAACCTGTGAATGTATTTTGGATTCTGGGCAATTCATATTCATTGAGGGAAGGGAACTCAGAAGTACTTGCTTAATCCTGCTCGAGAGTGTCATTGTTTTTATATAGAAAGGGAAATATGTAATTGGGGTTCTAACCAAATATTCATTCTTTTTTATCGAAGCTGTTTCCCCTGCCTCTCCTCTACGTTGGAAACCACATCAGTGGATTATCGAGCACAAGCAAGTTAAGGTAGAGTGCAGTGGTGGGTGGGAGATTCTCCACTTGTTTGCTTCTAATGCTGCAAAGACCAAGTTTGATTTTTTAATATATTGCTGTGTTACATAATATTATTTAATAATAATGTTTAATAATTGCAGAATATAAGGTGGAGTTTTGAGTTTAATTTGTTAATGCTTTTATAAATATTGAAAACCTGATTTTGTTTTGTTTTGTTTATGTTCAATTTTGAACATAGAAAAATGAGACCTCTAGAATCAAGATACAGGAGGTGATTTATTCAGAAAGAACCATTTCCTTGTAACTTTTGGTTTCATCACAGTTTTATAAAAGTGGAAATATTCTGTTAGATTTGGTATAGGTTGAGCTTGGTACAGGGAGAATGAAATAACAGGCATTATTTTAAGTATGCGCTATACACTTCTGAAGTTTGAATTTGTATTTATTTTAGGTCCATTGACTTTTTACTAAAAGTCACTATAAAAAATAAAAATGAAAGTACAGAAAGAGCCATCATATACATGAGGAAGCCTGGTGTGAAATATGCAGCCTAATGAACACATCATAGTCACTAATCTTGTGACAAAGATGTAAATAATTAAGTTTGTGGAAAGGGTGAAAAGAAACGAGGAAATCTGCCCAGCTGGTGTGGCTCCGTGGTTGAGCATCAGCTCATGAGCCAAGAGGCCAGCAGTGTGATTCCCTGTCAGAGCACACGCCCAGGTTGCAGGCTCAATTCCCAGTAAGGGGCATGCAGGAGGCAGCAGATTGATGATGTTTCTCTTTCATTAACATTTCTCTCTCTGTGTGTCACTCTCCCTTCCTCTCTCTCTAAAAACTCAATCCAAACATATTTAAAAATGGAGGAAAATCTGCCTGTATAGTAAGAGCAGATGGGAGGTAGACCAGAAGGAAAAGGACATATAAAACAAAGAATTGTGAAATCAGGCCTGTTACCTTTCACTCTTGTTTGGAAAGGACAGGTGTGGTCATGAAAAAAAAAGAAAAAAAGAAAAAAAAAGTGCCCTGGCTGGCATGGTTCAGTGGTCGGAGCACTGGCCTGTACACCGAAATGTCGAGGGCTTGGTTCCTGGTCAAGGGCATGTACCTGGTTGCAAGATTGATCACCGGTTCCTGGACGGCATATTTGGGAGGCAACCATTCGATGTTGCCTCCCAAATCTTTCTCATGATTTTTCTTCTCTCTCTCTCTCTCTCTCTCTCTCTCTCTCTCTCTCTCTCTCTCTCTCTCTCTCTCTCTCTCCTCTTCATACCCCCTCCTTTCCACTGTCTTTGAAAAAATTAATGGAAAAAAATCCTTAGGTGAAGATCAAAAATCAAAACCAAAAAATAAAACATGAAATACTATTTTCAGATATACATTTTATTTTATAAAAATATATTTGTATTGATTTCTGAGAGCAAGGGAGAAGGAGAGAGAGAGAGAAACATCACTAATGAGAGAATCGTTGATGGGCTGCCTCCATGCCCCACACTGGAATTGAGCCTACAACCCAGGCATGTGCCCTCACCCGGAATGGAACCATGACCCCTGGTTCATAGGTTGATGCTCAACCACTGAGCCACGCTGGACGGGCTTCAGTTACACATTTCAGTTGCTTTGTTGTTTCCTTCTGGGATCAGGCAATCATTTTTTCTTAATTGGCTCAAATTTGTTTTCGCCTCCCTATGGTGAGGGTTCCTCTGAGTTCAGCTGCAGCTCTGGGGTGCCCTCAGCTAACTGACAGCTGCCCTCCTCTCACATTCGGGGCTCTGCCTCCCAGATGAGTGCTTCTTTTTTAGTGATCCTATTGGGAACAACTTTTTTTTTTTTTAATTAAATTTGTTGGGGTAACATTCATTAATAGCATGATATAAGTTTCGGGTATACAATCCATATTCTCTATTGTGTGCTTACCAGATGATGTCTAGTCTCCTTTTACGACCAAATACAGGCTTGGGCAAAAGTAGGTTTACAGTTGTTTGTATGGAAAACAATACAAAGAATAAATAAATAATAATAATACAAGAATAAACTGTGTCTTGCATTCTCACAACTGTAGATCCACTTTTGCCTCACCCTGTATTTGACCCCCTTTACCCTCTTTATCCTCCCCTTAGCTCCTTGCCCCTCCAGTAACCACCAATCTGTTGTCTGATTCTGTGAGGTGTTTTTTGTTTTTTAATTTGTTTCGTTTCATCATTTGTTGCTTTTTTTGTTGTTTGTTTTATATTGAATATACAATATGAGTAAGACCACCTGGTTCTTGTCCTTTTCCATCGGACTTATTTTACTTGAGAGCTTTCCATGTTGTAAGTGGCACTATTTTTTCTTTCTTTCTTTCTTTTTTTTTTTTTCATGGCTGAGTATTATTTCATTGTATATATGTACCGTATCTTCTTTTTTGGGGGTAGATGCCCAGAAGAGGGTTGTTGGGTCCTATGGTAGCTCTGTTTTTAATTTTTTGAGGAAACTTCATATTGTACCAATCTACATTCCCACCAGCTAAAAAGAATGCCATTTCAACAATTAGTGCTCAGACAACTGGACATGTACACATGGAAAACTGGATCTAGACGCAGGCCTTATACCTTCCCCAGAATTAACCTCAAAATGATCATCCACCTAAATGTAAAATGTAAACTATAAAACTTCTGGAAAAAAAACTTGGGAGAAAAATCTAGATGATCTTGGTTTTGACAATGAGTTTTTTAAATACAACACCAAAAGTACAGTCCATGAATGAAAAAAATGAAAGCAGGACTTCAATAAAATTGAAAGCATTTGCTCTGAAAGACAGTGTTAAGAGAATGACATGCCACAGACTGAGAGAAAATGCTTGCAAACACATATCTGATAAAGGACTTGAATCAAGTAAATGAAAATTTGTGAGTTCATGTTGACAGCAAAAACAATTCTCATTGGTTACCACTGAAGGTGACAGAACACTATTCTGAATGATGCTTTTATTCTGCCTTTCCTGTGGAAATGGTGAAAATTTGTATTTATTGAAGATATTTAGACAAAAAATGCAGAAGGGGTGATATAGCTAGAAAGTCACCATTTTGCAATTTGGAGTGGAAATAATGAGTCTAGATGATAAGTCACTATTAGGTGAAAAAAAGATGTTTAATTTTTCAGCATCATTTGTTCAAAACACTGTTATCTCCCTATGGTAGTGTCTTGGCACCTTTGTTGGAAATAATTGACTATAATTGTAAAGATTTATTTCATTTTTTCATAGTTACTATATCTTTATTCATGCTGTTGAGCATATTTACTATCATTACTCTGAACTCTATTTCAAATAAATTTCTTACTTCTGCTTCATTTATCTTTTCTTCTAAAGAATTCTCATGTTCTTTCATTTTTGGGTTGTTTCTTGGTCTCCTTATTTTGGCTGTCTGTTTTTGTTTGTGATTATGTATTAAGCAGGTCCTTTACACCTCTCAGTCTCTAGTGCAGGACAATGTCAAATGCTGTTTCTGACTAATTATATCAGGCAAAGACTCAAAGCCTCCAGAGACTTCTGGGCAGCGACCAACAGCTCAACTCACTTTCAAAAGGATTCTGAGGGGTGCTCTGGCAACCAAGTCCTCTCTTTGTTTGACTGTTGCTAGGGATGCTTCTCCTAAATACTTTTTTTTTTAAATTGATTTTTTTAGAGTGAGAGAAAGGGAGAGAGAGGAAAAATAAATCCATGTAAAAGGTTGCCTCCTGCACACACCCTCAAGGGTTTATTGATTAATTATGATCCTAATCCATTGATCATATGTCTGTCCTTAAACCAGTACTGATTATTGTAGGTTTGTAGTAAATTTTGAAATTCAGTCCACCAACTTTGTTCTTTTAAAATATTGTTTTGCCTTTCTGGCTTCCTTGCCTTTCCATATTAATTTTAGAATCAGCTTGTCAATTTCTGGGGGGGGAAATGTTAGGTTTTGATAGGGATTGTGTTGTATCTATAGATCCATTTGGGGGAGTATTTCCATTTTAACAACAATAAGCCATATGATCCATAAACATGAAGTGTCTTTCTATTTAATCATCTTTCATCTTTCAGCAATATTTTGTAGTGTTTTTTTTTCTTTCTTCTTTTTTATACTTCTCACTTGAGGATATGTTTTTAATGATTTTTTACAGAGAGAAGAAAAGAGAGAGGAAAACATCAATCTGTTGCCTCTGGTGTGCATCCCAGCCAGGGCTGGCCTGCAAACTTCAATTTCCTGACTGGGAATTGAACCTGCAACCTTTTGGTGTATGGGATAGCACTCCAACCCACCGAGCAACCCCGGCCAGGGCTACTTTGTAGCTTTTAGTGTAGAAGTCTTACACTTCTGTTGTTAAATTTAGTCCTAAGGATTTTGTTCTTTTTGATGCTATCCAAGTGGAATTGTTTTAATATTTTTTTTGGATTGTTCACTGAGAGTGAATATAAATACAATTGACTTTTTAAGACTCATTTTGTTTCCTGCATACTTTCTTAGCTCATTAGTTGTAATAATTATTAAATGAGTTCCTTAGGCTTTTCTAAATTTCCACTGCAAATAAAGATAAGTTTATTTCTTCTCTTCCAATATGTATGCTTTTTTCCCTTCCCTTTCTTTTCTTTTTTCTTTTTCTCTTTTCCCTAATTGCACTCTTTAGGACCTCAAGTTTAATAGTGAATAGTGGTGAGAGAGAATCTCCTCGTCTTATTCTTGATCTTAGGGGGAAAACATTTAACTTTTGATCATTATGTATACCTTACCTGGGTTTCTTTCAGTAATAGTTTTTAAATCCTCTCCTGAGGACGTGTTTATAAGAGAGAGAGAGAGAAGGAGAGAGAGAGAGAGATTGATTGCCTCCTGTAGGCGCCCTGACCAGGGATCAAATCCACAACCTAGGTATGTGCCCTGATGAGGAATGGAAGCCACAACTTTAGGTCCACCAGATGCTCCAACCAATTGAGGCACTGCCAGAACCCATCTAAGGACTCCTGATACATAGTCCCAAAGAGCCCATTGGTTCTTCACCTTGTGGACTAGTTTTAGCACATTTTTGTAGTAGTTGGATGTTATGATGTTTTAAATAGCTAATAAGTGAAAGTGGCATGAAATTATTTCTCCTTCATTTTTAGAATTATTTAATGTGATTTGTTAGTAGAATTATTTAATGTGATATGTGAGAATTAGATTAATTCTTCATATTCATTTGGAAAATCGGTGCCTTAATTAAACATGTAAAAACATGTGAAAGCTTTTCATGGGGTCTGATGTCATTCTGCTTGCATCTTTCCCCGGCAGCCTGCCAATGTTCACGGTGCTCAGGAAGTTTACCATCCCGCTGACTTTGCTCCTGGAAACCATCATACTCGGGTGAGTGCTTCTTCCTCGGTTCCTCTGACTCCTCTCTCCCTTCCCCTCGGTTCCTCTGACTCCTCTCTCCCTTCCCCATCATACTCGGGTGAGTGCTTCTTCCTCGGTTCCTCTGACTCCCTAGCAAGTCCTCAACATCCCGTCCTCTTTCCAAACAGTTGATTTGAAGTAGCAGTAGCTGTAACTTAAGGATAAATAGTTTAACTTAAAAGCAGTCTCCTGTTTTCATGATTCCCTACCAACTTAACAAATGATTTGTTTTGTTTTTATTCTTCTTCACCAGAGGATATCTTTGCCATTGATTTTCCTACAGAGAGTGGAAGTGAGGGGGAAAGACAGAGAGAGAAACATCGATGTGAAAGAAACACATCAATTGGTTGCCTCGTGCATGCACCCTGATGGGGGCTGGGGATTGAGCCTGCAGCCCAGGTACCTTGACCGGGAATCAATCCTGGGACTCTTCAGTCCAAGGGCCAACACTCTAGCCACTGAGCCAAACTGGCTAGGGCGAGTGATTAAAAAAAAAAAAAAAATCCTTACTTGAGATTATGTTTTTATTGATTTGAGAAAGAGGAAGGGAGAAAGAGAAAAAAACATTAATGGGTTGCCTCCCACATGCACCCCCAACTAGGGATGGAACCCACAACCTTTTGGTGTATGGGATGGTGTCCAACCAACTTTGCCACACTAACCAAGTCATGAGTGATTTTTTTTTTTATGGTAGTTTTACACTAGGCAAATAATGCTTGTTTGTGGTAGATATTTATTAAAAAAAAAACAACAACCCACCCACCACCAAATAGATGTAAATCTGTTTCCTGATCCAGATGGAATGTACACTGATTTTGGAATACAGAGGAACAGTTGTCCACACAAAACTGTTAGGGTAGGTGAGCTGGGATACCCATTCTGATGCAGAGATAGAATATGATGTGACATAATCAGCATAAGTTGATTTTTATAATGTTGGTTTAGAAATTTCTCATAAGGATACTGAGGTTGACATTCAAAAAGGTCATTCCTGATTTGCTGTGAAGATTATTTAGCCATGAAATTTGGGTGGTGGCCGAGTGCTGTAAGTCTTGATGTTGAATTTTATTTTATTTATTTTTTATTTTTTTATTTTTTAAAAAAATATATTTTATTGATTTTGTACAGAGAGGAAGGGAGAGAGATAGAGAGTTAGAAACATTGATGAGAGAGAGTCATCGATCAGCTGCCTCTTGCACACCCCGTACTGGTGATATGCCCGCAACCAAGGTACATGCCCTTGACCGGAATCGGAATCGAACCCGGGACCCTTCAGTCCCGAAGCCGACGCTCTATCCATTGAGCCAAACCGGTCTCGGCCTGATGTTGAATTTTATCTTAACCTTTGTATGCTTGATAAAGTTCCCACTGACTAGCCCTACTAGCACGAGATGTTCTGAATTTTGTCTCAGCGTCTCTCCAGTGAGATCAGAGAAAGACATTCATGATCAGATGAAGGCAGTTGCTTAAGAAATGCAGTAAATTTGGTTTGACTTACTCATCTACTTAAAGATACTTTTTAAAAATGTTTTCACTAGGTAAAGCAGTATTCATTAGATTTTAGCTATAAAACAGTTAACAATGTCTATTTTCAGTTTGTTTTAAAAATAGAATCTATATGTTTTTACTCTCTTTCTTTCCTTGATCTGTCTGTCTGTCTTGCTAACCATCTCTTTTTCTGGGACAGGAAACAGTATCCCCTGAGCATCATCATCAGCGTCTTTGCCATCGTTCTGGGCGCTTTCATAGCAGCTGGGTAAGACTTTGGGCAGTTGCTGCTCAGTAACTTCTTTGTGTCTGTGACAATAGCCCCAGCCGCTCCCACTTTCATTTCCCATCTGGCTGAGCAGCCAGGAGACAGACGCGTCCCTGTCAGGGGAATCCCCGTGTGTTCCTGTGAAGCCAGGCTGGATCCCATGAGGGCCAGGACGTGTCTGAGAATGTACAAAGAGAGCGTTATAGGATATTACTGCAGCTTTCCTTCATAAAAAAGGCCTGAACTGTTTGCTTTCCTTACTGAGTGTGTGTCTTCAGTATAAAACTTTTACTTGAAAACGTGGGCATTTGATCTGGAAGAAGAGCAGATTCATAAAGCCCGTGGATGCTGTGATGCCTTAGGGGCCAGTGTGATAAAGGCAGAAACCTCTCATGAAAGGCTTCAGTATGTGGAGACCTGAGCCAGTGCCAGCGCGTGCCTCCCGCCTTATTCCCTGATGTGCAGCTCCACGCTGGCATTTGAAAGCCTGTCTTATTCATGAAGACGTTTGCTCAAACAAAACCAGACGAGTCAAGTAGCTACGAAGCGGGGTGCCCTTCTCTGCGCAGCCTCGCCTTCTGGGTTCTTAGAGCTCAGTGTGAACCGCTGGCCTAGGGCCAGCTGAAGACGTTTAAGGAAAGTGGTTTATAAGCATGTCTGCGAGCCGGTGGCGGGGAACGGCACTTCCGGGGCTGCGAGTGGGAAGCACATTCCAGAACCACTTGGCGGAAATTGAGCTGGTTAACCTGGGTGGCACCCTACTGAGCGGGAAGGGTGGCGTGCTTCCCGGATGCCCAACACGACCTGGGAGCCAGCTTGGAGCGTGAGTCTCGATTTCCCCCTTTCTCAGCACCCGCAGCCTGGGTACCACTCTGGTGGGTGACAAGTGCGTTCTGAGCTGCAGGCCAGCCAGCCGAGACCCAGCCTTCTCTCCTCTCGCTGAGATTAACTCATCCGAATGCAAGTAATCCTAGAGTGGACTCAGTTGGATCAGCCTTACGCTGCTGTAACAAACAGCCCCCGCATCTCCGATCGGGGGTTCAGCACACCAAGTCTATTCTGCTCCCACCACGCGTGCGAACCCACACCGGTGCATGCTGTGTGTGCTCTGCTCAGGGTAGCCTGAGGGATCCAGGTTGAGGGACTCTGCCTCCCCTAGGCCGGGAAGGGGCCTGTGGGGACAGGGCACCGACTCTGCGAACTTTGGCCCACAGTGAAGAGTTAATTCCTCTGACGGTTTATTTGCCAAATCAAGGCACATGCCCAGAAGAAGCTGAAATAGAATGTGTGTGAACAGCCCTAGCTGAACCACAAGGGTTAACCATGAATCTGCGCATTCATAGACAAGTAGATTCTTCTCAGACCTCTGTGCTTTTACTACTGGCCCCCACCCCAGCCTGAGAGAGATCTGAGAACCCAGGATCCCCGCAGGTCCCTGAGGAAGTGAGCTCCACCTCCTTCCCTCCCTCCTTCCCTCCCTCCTTTTCTCCCTTTCTCCCTTCCTTCCTCCCTCTGAGCAGCCTGGCTTTCTGCTCACTCAGCTCTGCCCATTTAGGGACCGGCCACCTTTTATTTATTTATTTAAAAAAAAAATATATATATATATATATATTTTATTGATTTTTTTACAGAGAGGAAGGGAGAGAGAGAGAGAGCTAGAAACATCGATGAGAGAGTCTTGCACACCCCCTCCCGGGGATGTGCCCGCAACCAAGGTACATGCCCTTGACCGGAATTGAACCTGGGGCCCTTCAGTCCGCAGACCGAGGCTCTATCGCTGAGCCAAACCGGTTTCGGCGACCTGCCACCTTTTAAACATGGAGCCGAACGTGCGCAGTTCCTGTGACTGAGCCCGATTGACGGTGATCTAAAATTAATGTTCTTCCTCGAAAATGTATTTGTAGATACTAGTGCCAGTGGAAGCTTCGAGCAAAGCCTGGTTTAGCTGGTTGTGTTCCTGTCCTGGTGCGGCCTTTGACCCCTCCGCCCCCTCCTCTTGGTTAGACATCCTCTTGTGTTGATATTGAAGGGGATAAGCAGGCCACGTTGGCATCAGCGTTATTTTGAATGGCAGGCGACTGAGAATCAGCAGGTGCAGGACTTCTCTGCCCTCCCCCTTCTGCCTGCGAGCAGCCCCCCGTTTCCCCGGGAGGGGGCCCCCGTTTCCCCGGGAGGGGCCCCCCGTTTCCCCGGGAGGGGGCCCCCGTTTCCCCGGGAGGGGCCCCCCATTTCCCCGGGAGGGGCCTCCCCGTTTCCCCGGGAGTGGCCCCCCCGTTTCCCCGGGAGCGGGGCCCTCGTTTCCTCGGAAGGGGCCCCCGTTTCCCCGGGAGGGGCCCTGTCCGCCCGCAGGAGCAGGAAGGCCGTTCTCGTCACGCGGTGAGGCGTCGGCATCACAGACCTCACTCACTCAGCCCTGCTCCTCATGAGCTCCCCCATCCCCACAACGTATTCCTTCCTCAAAACCTAAGCCCTCCTCTTCGTTAAATGGCGCAGAAGCCCCACCCAGAGCCCACAGCTGCACTGAGTCCCGTTGCCTCTGTGGCTCTGTGCACGCCTGGTTTCATGTTTCCCTGTCTGCTGCCAGTTACACCCCCGGCCCCGTCACTGACCCCGAGAGGGCAGAGGGCCTCCTGGGCGGCGTCTGTCTGTGACTCAGGACGTGGGTCTGATGCTGCCTGGAAGGTCAAGTGCAGCTGGGTCCGTGGCTGAGCTGCTGCTCTCCCTCCTCCCTGCTCCGCACCCCCCAGCCCTGCTCCTGCCCTGTCACCTGGGTGACGCGGCAACGGAGGAGAAGGTGTTCCAGCAGAACGGGAGGAGGGGAGCCTTAGAGGAGCCACAGAGACAGCATGGGCCCCTGCTCGGCCTTTGTGACGGACAGGGCCCTGGGGGTGCTGGGGGGGGGGGGTGACTGGGCACCAGATGGCAGTGTCCGTTTCTCCTCTTGCCCCAGTCCCTGCCCAGCTGTCCCCACGCTGGACCCCGGGGACAGCCCTGATTGCTACAATAAGCAACGGCCGGGTGTGTGTGTGGGGGTGTGTGGGGGCGTCGTTCCCCTTGGAAAAACCGAGCTCAGCAGGCAGGCCAGCTGGCCGCTCAGCACGAGAAAGGGCTTTGCAGTTACAGGGGTTCGCGTCCCCTGGGGGTAAGCGTTGGTGACGGAGGCGCCACCCGCTGCCTGGTGGCCTGCTTCTGTTTGTCTGGAGGCCGAGCAGGAGAATTGGGCCTTCACCGTCAAGGGGGCGGTGGGGGGGAGGGTGTAATTACTAGCATCACCCTGATCTGTCAGGGAAGACAGCGCAGGCAGCCGTGGCGCCGCGCTGTGAGCTGAACAGCCCCTCCTCCGTGCTCCCCCAGGTCCGACCTGGCGTTCAGCCTGGAGGGCTACGTGTTCGTGTTCCTGAACGACATCTTCACGGCGGCGAACGGGGTGTACACCAAGCAGAAGATGGACCCGCAGGTACCCTCTCCCGCCGTGTCCGGGCGCCGGCCTCTGCCCCCCAACTTACATGCAGAAGGAAAATGAATTGTAAAGTCGGCGAGTAATAATGTCATTTACACAGTGTCCCTCATCTCTTCCCAGTGACCTCGTCCCCGTAGCTTCTTGCTACTCCTTGCCTTGCAGAGGTTTGGTTGACAATTGGATAGGACGGGAAAAGATATATATGTCAGACGTCAGAATATATGAAAGGGATTGTTTTGAAAGGAAACTAAAGTGAGAAGCAGCTTTTCCCCATCATCCTCTGCGGCAGGGAGAGGCTGAGAGGGACTCCAGAGTGAGAGTCTAGGGTGGGGGGCCACGGGGAAGCCCTGCTGCTTGCCGGGGGCCGTTGTGACCTGACGTCCTCAGACCTCAGGGTGCTCCTCTGGGGACGAGACGCCTGTCCCAAGGGGCTGCTTTTCCTCTGAGCCGCTGCCTCCGCGGAGGCCCAGCCTCTCCCCAGCCAGCTGTCCTGGGGGCTCGGACGATGCGTCTCTTTGTTTCAAGTTCTTTGTGTCGGGGAGGGGCTGCGCTGAGGACAGGCTTATTCCCACGAGCTGCATTCACGGCCCGGGCCTTGCCCTGCGCAGCCACTTGTTCTGACGGGGACAGTTTTACACAAGCAGGTTTGTTGCCCTTTGAGAATCACAGCATGTCCCTCTGTGTGGGGAGTGGTGGAGCCACTTCAATGACAACCATGGATATGGGAGATTGGAAAATGAGAAACCTGGTGTCTCAACCTGCGGTTCTTTAGTGGAAAGAGCTTTGCAAGGCCAAAGCTAGAACAAATTTTCTTCTTCTTCTTCTTCTTCTTCTTCTTCTTCTCCTCCTCCTCCTTCTCTTCCTCCTTCTCCTCCTCCTCCTCCTCCTCCTCCTTCTTCTTCTTTTTAAATTTATTGATTTCAGAGAGGAAGGGAGAAAGAGACAGAAACACCAATGATGAGAGAGAAGCATTGCTTGGCTGCCTCCTGAACGACCCTTTCTAGGGATTGAGCCCGCAACCCCGGGCATGTGCTCCTGGCCGTGATCGAACCGGGGACCTTTCAGTCCGCAGGCTCATACTTTGTCCACGGAGCCAAACCAGCTGGGACAGCCTATTAACATTTTTTATGTTTTTTTAGTTTTTTAAATTTTTGTCCCAGAGTTCCTAACACTTGCTTTAAAGAAACTGAGGATGTAAGGGAAGGGTGGCACCTTGGAGGTCACCCATCTCCCTCCTTGATGTCTGTCCTTCCCGTGGGACACAGATGTTTGTTCTGAGGTGACAGTGCACCGGAGGGCAGCATTTTATGTCGGGAACGTGCCGACCTGGCCCGCTCAGAGCTGCCAGGTGGGTGCTCAGTGCAGACACGCGCTGTGGCGGAGGGACGGTGCTGAGCGGAGTTTCGTTGTCGCAGGAGCTGGGCAAGTACGGGGTGCTCTTCTACAACGCCTGCTTCATGATCCTGCCCACCCTCGTCCTCAGCGCCTCCACCGGGGACCTCCGGCAGGTGAGCCGCCCGCCGGGCCCTCCCCAGCAGCCGGCAGTTTTCCTACGTCGCCTCCGGTCCCGCTGGAATTAAAGGGGAGCAGGTTGCGGGGTTCCATGACAGGGAGATGGCCAGGGTCCCAGGGATGACCTTTCCTGGGCCTGGAAGGTGGCCGGGAACTTCTGGGGAAAAGCCCCAGAAAAGTTCGAGAGTGAGTTGCTGTGGGGTTGAACCCTAGATTCAAAATAAGACCCCCGGAGGCTGCTAATTGATTAAAAAAGCAGGCAAGGATTTATTGAAATAACTGGTCAGGACAGCCGCGAGAGCACCACACGCAGGTGGAGTCCACACTCGCAACCGCAGTCCTTTTAAAGGTCTAAACCACAGAAATTTTCCTTTGTTCTCAATTCTAAATTATAAATGCTTGGAACAACCTGCAGGGCGGCTCCCAGCCACATCCTGCTGGACTTGGGAATGTGGCCCTGTCTTGTGAAAGCAGATAGTACAGAAGCAGAGCTGAGCGGTTAATCTCTAAATGTTATCTACAGTTTCTACTCTGAAGCTACTGAGTCAGTGGGAATCCGTCTCCTGTGGTCCAGGTCCACAGGCACAGGAAAACTGCCTCAGCCTCCAGGTCTCAACCTGGAAGCTGAGGCAACTACCCTATTGTTTAAGCAAGTCAGCGAGTGCCGAAGCCAGAATAGCAGGGCTAAAATTCAAACGGCAATTCTTACCTACGTATGGCTGCTACCGTACTTCACGAGTCTTGCTGCCCCTTGCTGATGTGGGGAGACTGGGAAGAGGGTGTTGACATTAAACGTGAACTTATTTATTTATTACTACCTCGGTCATGGGCATTTAAAACCCAGGCAAAGGAGAGAGAATGACTGAACGAGCTCAGGGGCCCACCCAGCTTCCACGCTGCCTGGCATCTTCCTATTCACCTGGCATGTCTCTCCGTGCTCCCCCCCCCCCCCCCCCAATACTTTAAAGCAAGTTCCAGACACCCTGCCCGTTGTCTCGCACCCCGGCCCGGTGTTTACGTCGGGAGGAGGTATTTCCTTTGGGTGTCGGTGCTGCACACCAGCGCGGGCAGGAGTGCAGGAGGCCCCTGGAGGGAGGGGGGCTGCGCTCAGGGGGTGTGACCAGGACAGCGGCCGCGGGGTGCCCGCCCTGCCCGCCCTCCAGGAGCGCTGCCTGCACCTTCAGCAGACGGTTAAGTTCAGGTGAGACCCTAGGTGCTGGGCAAACCCTCCTCCATGGCCTGAGCCAGCCCTGCTGCGGCGTTATCCCCCGCGGTGCTGGGCTGCAGTGGGTCTGAGAGGACGGCAGCCGTCCTGGAGCTGGCTCAGCGGCGCGGCGGGGGGCTGGGGTGGGAGGGGGTCGCTCAGGCTGGGGGCACCCCGTCCCGGCTCAGCGGCGGGGGACGCTCAGGCTGGGGGCACCCCGTCCCGGCTCAGCGGCGGGGGACGCTCAGGCTGGGGGCACCCCGTCCCGGCTCAGCGGCGGGGGGCGCTCAGGCTGGGGGCACCCCGTCCCGGCTCAGCGGCGGGGGGCGCTCAGGCTGGGGGCACCCCGTCCCGGCTCAGCGGCGGGGGGCGCTCAGGCTGGGGGCACCCCGTCCCGGCTCAGCGGCGGGGGGCGCTCAGGCTGGGGGCACCCCGTCCCGGCTCAGCGGCGGGGGGCGCTCAGGCTGGGGGCACCCCGTCCCGGCTCAGCGGCGGGGGGCGCTCAGGCTGGGGGCACCCCGTCCCGGCTCAGCGGCGGGGGGCGCTCAGGCTGGGAGGCACCCCGTCCCGGCTCAGCGGCGGGGGGTGCTCAGGCTGGGAGGCAGGCCCACCGCTGTCCTTCAGGGCGGGAAGGCCGCGGGCTTCCAGGGCCTCCTGGGCTGATGGCAGGCCCCATGCTGTTTCTGAGACTCCGGTCTCACCTGTCTCACCGCACAGTTCCTCCCGGGAAACCCGGGACAGCAGGGGGCTGGGCAGGGCCTCCTGTGAGAGAGCCTCGAAGGCGGGTTTCTTCCTCCCACGCTGGGCCAGGACACGCTTCCCCAGTGGCCGTTTCCCCCGGGGCTGCCTCCTGTCAGAGGCAACAGCCTTGTTCATGTTTCTTTCCAAAACGGCCCCCCACCCAGCTTTCCCGCAGGCTGCCTGGCGCGGGGCTCCCTGCATTCAGGTGTGCAGAGCCGGGAGGAGAGCACCCCCCCGCCCCCCAGGAGCAGGCCGGGCGGGGAGCACAGTCACCCCCAGCGGCCGGGCTGAGCCATGGACAGCGGAGAGGGGCAGCCTCGGGGGAGGTTTGTCCCAGGTCCCAGGTCCCACCTCGCAGCTGGTCCCATGTCGTCGCCACGGAAACGCGTTTTCCCTGAGAAGCCCCCGGGTCCACCTGGGAAGTCTGACAGGTGCCGTCTCAGGCCGGTTCAGAGAGGGCCTGGGTTTCTCTCTCCAAGTGGAAATCTAGACATTCCTAGAAACTCGCCCAGCACCCGGCTGGAAGGAAAAGCATCCTTCCCCGTAGGAGCCGTGCTATGAGGGCACCGCGGCCAGAAGCCGAGTCTCAGGGGCCTGCAGATCGGAGCGGGCTGGACAGTGTGTGCGGCCTTCCCTGCTCCCCGCCTCAGTGTGTGCTCCACCAGGGACAGTGTGTGCGGCCTTCCCTGCTCCCCGCCTCAGCCTGTGCTCCACCAGGGACAGTGTGTGCGGCCTTCCCTGCTCCCCGCCTCAGCCTGTGCTCCACCAGGGAGAGTGTGTGCGGCCTTCTCTGCTCCCCGCCTCAGCCTGTGCTCCACCAGGGACAGTGTGTGCGGCCTTCTCTGCTCCCCGCCTCAGCCTGTGCTCCACCAGGGAGAGTGTGCGGCCTTCTCTGCTCCCCGCCTCAGCGTGTGCTCCAGCAGGGAGAGTGTGCGGCCTTCTCTGCTCCCCGCCTCAGCCTGTGCTCCACCAGGGAGAGTGTGCGGCCTTCTCTGCTCCCCGCCTCAGCGTGTGCTCCACCAGGGAGAGTGTGCGGCCTTCTCTGCTCCCGCCTCAGCCTGTGCTCCAGGCCAGGGACAGTGTGTGCGGCCTTCCCTGCTCCCGCCTCAGCCTGTGCTCCACCAGGGACAGTGTGTGCGGCCTTCCCTGCTCCCGCCTCAGCGTGTGCTCCACCAGGGAGAGTGTGCGGCCTTCTCTGCTCCCCGCCTCAGCCTGTGCTCCACCAGGGAGAGTGTGCGGCCTTCTCTGCTCCCCGCCTCAGCCTGTGCTCCAGGCCAGGGACAGTGTGCGCGGCCTTCTCTGCTCCCCGCCTCAGCCTGTGCTCCAGGCCAGGGACAGTGTGCGCGGCCTTCCCTGCTCCCGCCTCAGCCTGTGCTTCCACCAGGGACAGTGTGCGCGGCCTTCCCTGCTCCCGCCTCAGCCTGTGCTTCCACCAGGGACAGTGTGCGCGGCCTTCTCTGCTCCCCGCCTCAGCCTGTGCTTCCACCAGGGACAGTGTGCTCGGCCTTCTCTGCTCCCCGCCTCAGCCTGTGCTCCAGGCCAGGGACAGTGTGTGCGGCCTTCCCTGCTCCCCGCCTCAGCGTGTGCTCCGGGCCAGGGAAGGCCTCGAGGGGGGGTTTCCTCCTCCCCCAGCTGGGCCAGGACACGCTTCTCCCATGGCCGTTTCCACCGGGCTGCCTCCTGTCAGAGGGTGAGCAGACACAGGAGAGGAGGCGTTTCTGTCAGAGGCCTGTGCGCCCCACGTCAAAGGCACTGCACTTGCCCCGTGGGGTTTTACCAGGAGCTGATCCATGAGCTAGACCACATGTCAGCTTCCGTTGTCGGTGGAAGGAGCACGTGCTGAGTCCGTTTCCTGGCTGGCTGGAGAGGGTCCGTGGTGTGTGTGGGGGGGAGGGGAGGGAGGGGGAGATGGTGGGGGGTGGAGATTGGGGGGGACGGCGGTGAGCCGCTGTGTGGGGTCGCTCCTGGGCCTGGACTTCACAGGCAGTAGGTCTGCCAATAGCAGCGACTGTTCAGATTGGGCCTCTGTGAGAACTCTCAGTGGGTGAGCTTTCTTTAGTCATTTGAATCAAAGTACTTACTTTTTTTTTTTTTTAAATATATTTTATTGATTTTGTATGGAGAGGAAGGGAGAGAGATAGAGAGCTAGAAACGTCGATGAGAGAGAGTCATCGATCAGCTGCCTCTTGCACACCCCCTACTGGGGATATGCCCGCAACCAAGGTACATGCCCTTGACCGGAATCGAACCCGGGACCCTTCAGTCCCCAAGCCGACGCTCTATCCATTGAGCCAAACCGGTCTCGGCGTACTTACTTATTTTTAAAAAATGGTTTAAAAAATTTGAAATTATAGTTGACACACAATACTGTATTAGTTCAGGTGTACAATGTATTGATTAGACACTTATGTTTATGTGGCTTAAGAAGTGGTCACCTGGGGAAGTCCGGTGTCCGCGCCCTGACACCGGCTGACACGGTCTGTGGTTATCACCATATTACTGACTGCGTCCCCCTGGCTGCACTTCCGTTCCTGTGCTGGCTGCCTGGCCACGTGCCAAGAACAGTTAGTGTGCTACAGGTGATGAATAGGGATAAGTATGCTTTCTTATGGTCAAAAGTTTTTAAATGCAAATGAAAAGGATTCATATACCAACATATTTTTTACAGCAATAATAAGTGTAAAGGAAGAAGTACTTTATTGTTATTCATGAATTGTTTTCTCTGTTTTAAATGTCATGCTATCTTGTGTTGTTGTTGTTGTTGTTGTCTTTTTTAATATATTTTATTGATTTTTTTTAAAGTGAGGAAGGGAGAGGGATATAGAGCTAGAAACATCGATGAGAGAGGAACGTCGACCAGCTGCCTCCGGCACACCCCCCACTGGGGATGTGCTCACAACCAATGTACATGCCCTTGACCGGAATCGAATCTGGGACCTCTCAGTCCATAGGCCAACGCTCTACCTATTAAGCCAAACCGGTTTCAGCTTGTGTTGTTTTTTTAAAAATGCTACCCACACAGCCTCATCATTATGGGAGAAACAAAACCAAAACCTGTCAAACTTCCAGCTGGCAAAGAACCCCGATGTTGTGATTCATGAACATTTCTCCATCGCCCTTGGTCATGTGGCTTCAGGAATATATAGTGTTCACTTACTGTTGACACATGTACCGCCATTCTTGGAGTAGGTCAGTGTTAGTTTGGGGAGTATGGTTCCTCCTGTTCCCAACTGTATCTGACGTTCAGACGCAGAGAGCCGTTCGTAGTTTCTGTTTGGTTCTGATCTTAGTCCTGGCGTCAGCCATGGGGATGGTTTCTGCCCCTTTGATCAGCCTGGGGCTTGCCAGTCACTATGACAGGTTTGTGTTCACTGCATATTTTTCTTTCACAAGTAAGGACTTTTTGAAAAAATGTTTTAAGACGGAGACTTTCAAACCTATGCAGAAGTAGAGAGAAGAGTATAACAATCCCCATGCATCCAGCAACCAGTTTCAGAAATTATCAACATTTAATGTGTGTCTTTTTTTCTTTTTTTCTTTTTTTAATCCTCGTCAGAGGAAACATTTTCCATTGATTTCCAGGAGGGGAGAGAGAAAGAAAGACATCGACGTGAGAGAGACACATTGATGGTGCACTGACCAAGGCTGGAAACCTGCCACCTGGTACATGCCCTTGACCAGGAATCAAACTCCTGATCCTTTGGTCCTCAGGCTGGTGCGCTAACTGCTGAGCCAAACTGTGCATCTTTTTATAATATAAGAGAGGTGGGCAAAGCATTACTAATGAGATAATGGCGCAGTGAAGTGTGACAAGGTTGTAGTAATCAGACGAGAGAATTCCATTTAATTGGTTTAAACAGTTTGAATTATAAACTTAAGAAGGATTTAAATAATTTTAAACATAAAATTATTAAAACTTGGCTAATAGTATTGCTTCACAGAAAGTGAATAGAACTTACATTTAATCATGTTATTCAGTAATACTTAGGTATAGTCTTGAGTCACCTTAAAATTATTTTTGGAGGCAGGCAAGAGACAAATCATGAATCAAATACTCCTTTTTATTGTCACCTGACATTTGAAGGGGGTTGATTTTATTTTCTTAGCTGGGGACTAAGAGCAGAAAGCGTGTCTTAAACTTCTCTGTCCTCTGACTACTCAATCCAAGTACTTGATTGCTTTTTAAACAGCAAATAGTTGTTTATTTGTTTGTGATACTTCCTAAGCATTTGCAAGTTCTTGAAAACTTAAAGGTTTCTTAAGTTCATAATTAATAATTAATGCCAGTATTCTTAACTTTATAATAAACTTTCTTCTAAGGTTATTTTATAGAAAGTAAACCTAACCTGACTTTGTGACTACAATTTTAGTGAAGATTTAATGATAACCATAGCAACATAACTACCCTTTTGTCCTTGTCACCTGCAAGATTCTAAACAATTTCATTAAATCCTCAGATCAATCTTTTGAGGATGTTTTAAGAAAATAATCTTTACTTTGTAAAATGAACCTGAGGTTTTAGGGAAGAAGAGTAATTTGCCCAATCTCACGTAATAGGTACTGCCTAGGATTTAAAAATATATATATTTTTTCTCTTTGGGAACTTGGTTCATGTACTAAATAAAATGCACAATTTGGTGAAACCAGTGGATCTAAACTGTAACATTATTAATCTAATCATTCGTTTTCTTCAGGCTACTGAATTCAACCAATGGAAGAATGTTCTATTTATCATACAGTTTCTTCTTTCCTGTTTTTTGGGGTAAGAAACCATAGATGAGTACAAGTTTGGTCTATGGCTCCTCTTGACAGGTAATACAAAACAATATACATTCTCTCTGTTCTGTCAAAATTCCTTTGTTTCAGCTTCTCCAGCTTTCTCTGGAAAGTACCCCTGCAGCAGAGGAGTGTCCTGGGACCCATGTCACATGTCACAGTCCATTGATAGGCAACATGATATTTGGGATGAAGTTAGCTGACCTGTCAGATTCCGTACTGTGTTTGTCTCTGTCACAAAGTCCTATGTTTTCCAAGCTCCACCCCACATACAAATGACAACCATTTTCTGTAGTGCTGTACCTGCTGTGTTCAGGGAAATTTCTGAGAGATGACAAGGTCTAATGTTGTCTAATAATTTTAGGCTTTTGTTCTTAAAAAGTTTCTTACGAATATTCTCCTGTTAGAGCCATGCAGCCGTATCTCTCTTTTCTCCTCCTCCTCCTCCTCCTCCTCCTCCTCCTCCTCCTCCTCCTCCTCCTCCTCCTCCTCCTCCTCCTCTTTCTACTTCTTCTTCTTATGTTCCCTGAACTTGAAAATTTTCAGGAACAAGTAATACATGCAACAAATAATCCAAACCTGCGAAAGAATGCCGGGGGCAGGCAGCCACCCTCCCTCCCTCATCCTCCTCCATCTGTCCGCTGTCCCTGCTCCCCCCCTCTCCCCGACCTCCCTCTCCTCAACAGCGGCCGCCGCCCCCCCCCCCCCCCATACAGCCCCGCGGGGTTCCCCTGCAGAGACAAGCACTGATTGAAGTCTTTGGAGCATGCTTCCAGGGCTGGGCTCCATGTGGATACAAGCACCTGTGTCTTCTCCCACACACAAGGGTTTTTGCCTGAGTCTCAGGGAGTTACTTATCAAAAAGCTTTTCCTGCGAAGAAAGATGAATTTCCCTTATTTTTTTTTTTTAACTGTGAATGCTGCCATTTTAATTATGCGTATCTGAAGAAAGGTAACTCATGATCTCTTTGATCAGCACTCAATTTTCAAACTGGGTTTTAATTGCATAATACGGCCACATACAGTAAAAATATTTATGTAGGCCCTAGCCAGTTTGGCTCAGTGGATAGGCATTGGCCTGCGAACTCAAGGGTCCCAGGTTCAATTCCGGTCAGGGGCATGTGCCTAGCATGTTGGAGTGAGTAGTGGCTGTGGTGAGAGGGGGAAGCGCGTGGCAGACAGTGACTGTTGGGGCGAATTACTGAAGTCCTGGGGCATACGAAGGCACACTTTATAGAGGAAAAAGGAAACAGTTGGGAAGGATGGCAAAAAGCCATTGGTAAGGAATAAAGGCAATGAGGGCATGTGCCAGGGGCTAGGGGAGGCTTGGGGAAGGTCAATAGGGGGGAAAAAAGGAGACATGTGCTGCTACTAGAAACAGTAAATACCAGGCAGGTGTGAAAGATGAGGAAAAACGCGGCTCAACAAACCACTCTTCCCTCATGCCAGGGTCTCAGGAGTCATAAGAGCCCGTCCCCAGCCGGCGCACGACGAACGCTGGTTTCGAGCCTGGCACCCCGGCTAGAAGCCGCCCGGAACACCAAATTGGCCAATGAGGGGAGAGGCGGGGCACCGAGACGGCCTAGGTCGCCAAATGGGCCCACCGCAGCCACTGAGTGGGCCTGGCCAAGCTAGCCTGGAGCATTTGGCTTCATAGGAGATCTGGTGGAGCCCGCGATGATTTGCACGGAGAGCACTAGGAGTGTTCTCGTGCGCCAAGCCTTTAAAGGGGGCCAGTTCAATAATTTTTACAGTTAGAGCGACATAGCTTACGCTTCCACATGACCTGGCTTCTTACAGCGCCGCATCACAGAACACCTCCTATCGTTGCGCTTTATGGAAGGTGTCTTTGATCACGTAAAACCCTATATATTGTTCTAGTTTTACCGTCCCGGCATGTCCTAGAAACCGCGGTGTAAAACCGCGGTGTCTTGTGGGTGCAGTATGCAAAAGACAGGGCAGACGCAGCCCCGCCCCCCGGCACGCAGGGCGAGGGGCGGGGCCGCCGCGGGCACCCTGCGCTCCTCTCGGGCACGGAAGGGCCGCGGGGGCGGGAGGTGGCGGAGGCGGGGAGGAGGCCGGAGGCGGCTGGGAGCCGCCCTCCGGGGCCCGCGGGCCCTGAGGGCGCGACTCGAGGCGGCCAGTGGGAGCACGCGGCCCCCAGAGCCCCGGGCCCGGACCCGGCGGCGGCGGCCCTGCCCCCGCGCTCGGACCCGCATCCCCAACCTAAACCCCAACCCGCTCTTCCACGCGCGCGATCGGCTCTTCCACGCGCTCTTGTTCACGATGGTTAGGCATTGGCCTGTGGACTCAAGGGTCCCAGGTTTGATTCCAGTCAGGGGCGTGTGCCTTGCTTGTGGGCACACCCCCAGTGGGAGGTGTGCGGGAGGCAGCTGATCCATGTTTCTCTCTCACTGATGTTTCTAACTCTTTCTCTCTGTAAAAATCAATAAAATATATATAAAATATTTATGTATAGCCTCCAGTTCAGTAATTCTCTCTGTAGCTGTGTCTGACTTAATGTTTAGCCTGATGATGGAGTTTTTTATTTAAACAGTTTTATGTTTTATTTGTCCAAGTTCACAGCCTTTCCAAACTTCTCATTCTTTCATTGGCAGTCCTTGTGACTGCACCTATTATTTCCTTAAGTGTCATGTGCGTAGCTATTCTATGCTCTGTGTCTCATGAATCAACATCCACAGTTCTTGAGAATCTAAATGTGTACTTTATTGACTGACTGTAGTTTGTGACTGTTATTATGGTCTTCTTTCTCGTGTGCTTGATGACTTGTGATTGTGAGTCTGTTGCATAATCTTAATCAGGCCTATTGGCTGAGATTGGGAATTTGAGAAACTTGCCTATAGGAACAAATCGATTTTGCTCCAGCTGATTGCCCCTGACCTGGACACTTGAGGCTTTTTTGAGGGCCTGAGTATGAGGGCTACTGTGGTCCGCCCCCCCCGAGTTTGGCCCAGGGTTCAGTTTCAGACAGTGCCGTTCTGCTCTGACTGACCCTGCCCCACTGTCTTCGCCCTGACTGTTGCCTGGCCCTGATTGCTTACTACTCTGCTCCAGTTCCTCCTCTTTCAAAGGAGTGACTTTTAATGACCTCGTGTGCCTCTTTCAAGACCATCAATCTCCCCAATAATGTGTTCTTTCCAGGCATTGGTGGTTCTCAAGGGGAGAGAGAGTACTAAGTACTCAAAGTGCTGAGGCAGCCATTGTTGGAAGCATAAGTTAGTAAAATATTTGTGGTTTTCCCAGTTGTTGCCTGAGAACACTTAACTGCAGAAATAGTCTACAAAGTCATGTTGTGAGTTACCATTATCAAACCATTGTTTTTCCCTTTCCAATTAAAAAAAAAAATCAACCTATATCAATACAAACTCAGACCAGTGCCTTTCTACTGCCTCAGCCCATTCAGCTGTGAGCAGCAGAGCCAAGTTTCCAAGGCTTTTCTCATCCTATATAATAAAACCCTAATATGCAAATCAACCAAATGGTGGAACGACTGGTTGCTATGCTGTGCACTGACCACCAGGGGGTAGATGCTCAACCTAGGAGCTGCCCTCTGGTGGGCTCACAGCTAGAGGCTCAGTGGAGCTGGCGGGAGCCTCTCCCACCTCCATGGCAGGGGATGTCCAACTGCTGGCTTAGGCCGCTCCCCCCAAGCTGGCAGCTGAACACCCCCCAGGAGTCCTGGACTGTGAGAGAGTGCAGGCTGGGTTGAGGCACTCCCTTCCCCTTCCTCCCACAATGCACGGATGTGGTGCACCAGGCTTCTAGTGTTATTACAAACTTGAAGAGATACTTTTTTCACCTGTACTTTACTACGTGAGCATCCCATGAAGGGAATCAAGAAGTGAGCCCTCTGGAGGAGCCATCCTGTAAGTGCTGTGGCCTGCGGAGCTGGGTGGGAGCTGCCACTTTCTGGGGCTTGACCCCATCTGTGTACAGTTCCATATACCGCCCCCCCCCTCATTTAATAATGTGGAAACAAATACTCTCCTGTGAAAAGTTTTTAGTATACTATTTTATCAGTACTCACTTTGCAAATGAAAATGTCCCAAATCATAGTAATTATAAATAAATTATTAGTAAAAATGATGAAATCATTAACATTTCAGATTTCACCCAACTTTAAGAATGAAAACTTGGTAGGCCACAGTTTTGTTAAGTGCCGTATTTTTCGGACCATAAGAAGCACCGGACCATAAGACGCACCAGTTTTTAGAGAAGGGAAATGAAGAAAAAAAGATTCTGAAACAAATAGTGTCCTAAAATATTTTATGTGCATTAAAACCCAACACCACAGTCATAAACACATGTAATCAACCCTGTAAAGTAAACAGCAGCATTTAGAACCATTTTAGAGCTGGGCAAGCACACAGAGACCACACAGAGCCGGGCAAGTAAAAAAAACTTTTTTTTTAAAGTATATGTGTAGGCTATATTTGGACCATAAGACGCAGGGACTTTTTTCCCCCACCCCCCGACTTCTGGGGGGAAAAAAGTGCGTCTTATGGTCCGAAAAATACGGTAGGTCTTTTGAGGAACTAAAATCATCACATTCCAGCAGCTCCGTGTCTGAACTCTGGGATCAGATGATCTGTGTATCAATGGTGGCTTTGCCACTTATCATCAATGGTTCTTGGTTAAGTTATTTAACCTTGTCGAGCCTCAGTTTCCTTACCTCTGATCTGGGAACAATGAGCTAAACTTTAGCTGCTAAAATATCTGATTTATAAGGTGAGGTTCTGTGAACTGAATGAGTAAAGAGCACACTGCTAAACACATACAGAATTGCTCAATAAGTGTTATATATTGTTAATATTTCTGTTTCTTGAGGCCAGCCTGTTCAGTTTGGCTGTCCTCTCTCTCTCTAATCCTCACCTGAGAATATGTTTTGATTTATTTTAGAGGAAGGGAAAGAGAGAAAAACACTGATCAGTTGTCTCCTCTACGTACCCCAACCGGGGATCGAACCCACAACCTAGGTAGGTGTTCTGCCCAGAAATCGACCTGCTACTTATGGGACAATGCTCCAACCAACTGTGGCATGCAGGCAGGGCTTGCTGTCCTCTGTTCACGGGGACAGATTTGGGTCTACCTCAGCATGGGTTTGAGAGTTTTCTTCCGTGGTGTATGCTTCACTCCAGGGTCCAGTGCTCATTCTGAAGCTGCTCTGAATACCAGCCATGTCCCGACCAGTGGGAGATCAATGTGGGGGCGAGGAGGCACCTAGAAAAAAATGATAGAGGACAGGAGACACGAAGAAATGGAGGCAAGACAAAGTTCTGATCAAGCCTCAAACTTTATTTTTTGAAATGGCAGTATATATACAGCAGGAACAAAGTGGGGCAGGGTTGCCTACGCAGAGGGGTCTTTGGCAGTGTATAATTGGTTTAGGCACTGAGTGACAAGGTGGTAAAGTATCTGGCAACACAGGATTGGCTAACTGCCAGGGTGGCGTAACATTCCAAGGTATAACTTTTCAAGGATGGGCTAGCTATGGGGGAGGATCAGGAAGGGGAAGTTGCAGAGATGCTAAGCGGCAGGTTAATCTTAGCTTCTGGCCAAACCCTCAGGGCACCACATAACTTCTGCTAGAAGGAACTTAATTCTATTTGCTCAAGACGGAGTTGCTTGTCTCAACTCTGATGGCTCCTAACACAGTCAGAGCAGCCTCAGAATGTTTTGAATTTCTATATATGCTTGTGCATGGGATGGTAACCAGCAGCAGGTTGTATCAATGAGCTTCCGGCTCATTGATACCAGCCACCAGCACCTGCTCCCTCCAGAGCAGCTTCCATTTCAGCCTGGAGGGTTTTCCAGAACCCTGCTTCCTGCAGTTTCTCACTCGCAGGACTGGGATGGCCCATTGCTTCTCTGCCGTGGTAGAAACGACTGAGCCTCTGAGAGTGTCCTTTGGTTCCAGACAACTGGCGCCGGGCTCGGCTGTCCCTCCTCTCAGGTCCCCGCTCAGGGAGCATCCACCCCGGAGCCCGAGGCCTCGGACCCTCAGCCTTCTACTCACAGTCACTGCGCTCACGTTTGCTTTTCAAACTTCCCCAACCACTGAACCTCTATTCCAAGTTGAAAGTAAATTTTAAAAATTAGAACACTTTAAAACTGTGATTTAAAAGCCAATGAAATGGTGAGAAGCAGGGACTTTTCTTTGGAGTTATGGTGAAGGACTCAGCCTTAAGACATGCTATTTGTAATCAGGCGTTTGCAAATACAGCGTAGGATGGGGTGAAAGGTGTCAGGGAGACAAGCTGGATTGTGGGAGCGAAGGTTGTAAAGCACAAACTGGAAGTAAGCTGACCAGCTGGATTTTAAAAGCTGGTTCTGTAGGTCTTTTTAATCTTGCCGAGAAATGACAGGTTCCGGCTCATTGATACCAGCCACTGGCACCTGCTCCCAGGCCTGAGGGAGGTTATCCTAACCTGTGTCTGCCCCTTTAACCCCAAGGAAGCAGTAATGTATTTCTTAATAAAAACACAAAAGCATCAGATTTCCCTACTCAGGAGATAAAAGGTGTTCTGTTCTTTGAACTGTCATGGGTACTGGCAAGATGCAGCACAGGAGGGAACAGGACGCTGTGGATTGCTGGGCCCTGGGACGACAGAGCTTTGGAGGTGGCAGATATTCCCATAATCCTCCAGCAAACAAATCTTTGGGTGTGACCGATGCTCTAGGACAGTGGTCGGCAGACTCATTAGTCAACAGCGGCAAACCGTGGCTTTCGAGCCGCAGTTTGCCGACTACTGCTCTAGGAAGACGGGTCCATTCATCCCATGGCCAGTGTCCTCACACATCATAGAGGCCTGGGGTCAGAGAGTTCTACCAGAGATGGCAAGATGAGAATGCTAGACATTCTTTGAAACCCGGAATTACAGAACAGTAATGTTCTGTACCATTGTGGTCAGTGCAAGGAGTGTTAAAGTGCCTTTTATTATCTGAACATCTGTTTTGAATTTCTATATATGCTTGTGCATGGGATGGTAACCAGCAGTAGGTTGTAAATGAGGTTATTTGAGTTCTGTTTGTGATGGCCACCAGGGTGCCAGACAGGCTTGGGTAAATATTTCTGTGTGTGTGTGTGTGTGTGTGTGTGTGTGTGTGTGTGATTTGCAGAAACAGGTTCTGGTCCAGGGCTGTCTGCACGGGCACCTCTATCCCTTGGGCATAGCTGGCATCTGCTATCTAAATAGATATGTATCATATATGTGCTATTACTTTTCAAGTATACATAGATTATATGCGATTTAAAAATGCAGAATGGCAAAAAGCTTCTGAGTATTTTCAGTGCTTTTATTAATAAATATATCTTAGCATTTTATTCAACCACAGGTGCCAAAATAAAAACTGTCATGTGCAGGTCGACATTTTGGTGTTAAAAGTGGTGTGGTTTCCTTTAGACTGAGTTAATAGAGGTTCTTTTAGTTTAGAACCTGGGTCTTTACCAAAGGATTGCACAGGTACTTATTTGCATATAGAAATACATTCTGTTTTTTAAGAGGGAAAAAAAATACACCACTTTGATCTTGTGGTTTTATATTCATCCTCTATGGGGACACCTAGTGGTTACAATGAGAACTGCAGCCTTTCTGTGGCGACCCAATCTGTTACTAAGATCTGCTGGCTAATTCAGACCAGACATCCCAGGACCTTAGAGAGGGGGCTTCTCCCCAGCTGTCCGGTGAGTGTCCTGGTCGCCCACACTCGTGGTAGATGGACATTGGAGTCTTAGATCTGAGGTGTCCGTGATTCTGAACGCAGGCCCAGATGGTTTCACTGAGACGTGGGATGGAGAAAATGGGAGACCAGAACCCTGGGTGGGATAGGAACTTCAATGTAAAAAGAACACTAAAGGATGTCCATGCTCGTCCTGGTGTGAGGCCACAGGGCCGGTGGGGAAGCCTGCTGGACCTTTCCCGCGTCCCTGAGTGGGCTTGGTCCCTGCCTGGGCTGCACGCTCTGATTTTGTAGATTCAGCTCCTCTGGAGCAGATGCTGGGGCACTGCCTCTGATCCGGGGGGCCCTGCACCGGCCGCAGGCTGCGTTTGTTAACCTCTGCGTTTTATGCATGAGGGAGATTGTTTATAGTTCCTCGGGGCTCTACATTAACGTTCAATTTATTATAAATGTAAAAATTAAGACGGAGGTTTTGTTAAGCCTTTAATATGTAAATACTGCTGCTCGATTTATAAAGCCAGTAATCTTTGCATAAACATAACTTTACTTCCATTATTTGGTTAATGGTTTGTTATCTCAGGTTCAACTGATTAAAATATCCCAACCAATTCACTGTAAATTAGTTCCATGTACAGCTTAGTGAATTGAAAGTTTTTTAACCCCTTAAAACTGCTTTTACAATCTGCGTTACCTGATTTCCCCCCGGGATTCCAGGGCCTCATGCGGCCCTCGCAAAGCTAAGGATCCTGGTAGCTTTGCACGGCAAAGCAGCCCTCCGAAATCTAAGAAACCGAAGTTGGAAATAAATCAGCTTCTTTTCAGCGTGCCAGCAGCGAGTGCCGATTTTCTCAGGTTCTCCGACTCCTCTCCGGTCCGGCAGCTGCCCGTTCCATGTCAGAGCCAGACA